TGCACAAGATACAACTGAATTCAAAATAATTAATGCACAAAACAATTTATGCATCCATTATCAATTACAAAATCCGGGCATTACGAAGAAAAAAAGGAAAAAAAAAAGAAAAAAAGAGAGAAACGTGACACGGACACACCTCAAAACTGTTCACACTTTTCTCCCGAAAAGTGGTCTCACGCCCCTCACGATAACTTAATCAGTCTTCCGGAAAGACCCGCATTCCATTCCGGAAGCGGCGCCAAGACACCCGTGACCATTTGGCATTACGCGGGATTATCCTCACCGGAAATCACTCGCCCTCGCGACATAATGTACGGTATGATAATATCCTGTGTATTTATTCGCTAAGGGTGGCTCACCCCCCCCCCTCTGGGATGCCCACTTTATTTTGTGTTTTCATGGCATCCTTGACCAAACCTGTCTAGAGAAACGCGAATTTCTTTTTCTCTCTTTTTTTGCTTTCGTGGAGGTACTGTAAATTACTTGTAATTTACTCGAGATGTGATAATAGTCTCGGCAGCCAGAGAAGTGAGCTGAATTGAACAGTCCTCTGACTGATTTGAGGAGCTTTTGATTATTTTTTCATTTATGAGGGGTTGGAGTAGGTTTTGTGGGCCGGATGGAGGTTGATCGGTTGATGGCTGGTGCCATCGGGGCGGGGGCGGGGGCGGGGGGGGCTATCGGTAACTTTCAGGAGGTGGTTCAGTGAAAGGACATTAGTTGTGTTGCGGTGTGATAAATTACTATACGGTACTAGATTGAGGATCTCCTTTATCGGTATATATTCCACTCGTACTGTACAATATAGTTTTTTTTTTCCAGGTGTGCGCTGGTGCCTCTGGTACAGGGAAAATAATAATTTATTATATGAGCCTTCTGTGCCGTATGATACCTAGTACAGTACACTGCAGGCAAGTGTTTATTGTCCTGAGAGTGGGGCCGTGAGGGAGGGGCATTATGAATCCCACAAGCACAGTGTGTTCTAGGTTGTCATACACCGAGACCTTTGACTACTGGTTATGGTGCTGCACCAGGCGGCGGTATCATAGACTATGATATCCCTTTGTTGGGACCGAGTTCATGGAGGTCTGGGGTGGGGAGAGCCCGGTCAGAGAATTACTGCGATGCCGTACACAGCCAGGCTAGAGAGAAAGACTGGACATGTTGTCAGGAGGTGAGAAACATGAGATGGTCAACCCTACTACTCACTCCATGAGGGATAGGTAATAGAAAATTACCATTGGCTCAGTTATAAGCCCCCAACGCATGGGTTGTTGTGGACTCACTAGATTCTGGATGTTGTATAGTATCTCCAGTATAGAGCAATACAAGTGCTTGCGCTTGCGGCGTCACCTGCCATAAATGTCAACATAATCTGAACGAGCTGAATGGCTAAGCGGGCCCCTATTGCGTAGAAATATGTCGACAGAGCTACAGAGTCATTTTAATTTAATCCATCTATCCTCCATACAAGTGCCATGCTGTTGTGAAGATTCATCTAATCGCCCACTCTAGCTTTTGTCCAAACTCATGCGTATTCCATACATATATTATCACTCGGGTTCAACATTAATCTCTGCCAATTTGTCCGAAAGAATTATGATTATGGTGCGAACAGCCCTGGTGAGCTCGCCCCTTCTCACCTTCTCATACCATATCATACCTGTAAGCTAAAAGGGAGATGTACAGTGTCGATCAACTTATTCGCACACGCACTAGCTAGAGATAAAGGTTCTCAGACCTGATCGGTCAATCAATCAATCAATCGAGGCCCGTGGACTCCTGAGCGGTAGAATTAAAGCCAACTTGGAAGAGTGAGGTTGGGGTATCTTTTCACAGTAGGCGTCGGTGGCCGTACGAACATACCGGTGGTTTACTTTGCGTCGCTGCCTGCTGGGAACTGTTCGTTCGACAATAGTGAACTGGACGGTTGATAGGTATGCTATCATAACTGAGAGGAAGCTAGTAGACATGTATATCTCTAACAGTAAGGTCTAGGGAAACCAAAGAACCACGCGGATGAACGGCATTCCGGGAATGACGAAGGCTTAGGGGGGGTTCTGGGAAAGCGGATGGAAGGGTTGCCCTCATCCCGGATAGGTAGTTATCCTCCCGGGCGTATTGATGTGGGTATATGACTCGTAGCGGCCGCTACGGGTAGATGGACTCTGCAGCATTGGGGCTGGAGTCCGGGAGCACCGCACTGTACTAAAAATGTTCCTTCGGTAGGGACATTGATAACCCTGCGAGAGTCTTGTCGACGTAGATGGGGAATCATAGACTGTCTGGTTGATCTACTTTACCCTCTAAGAGCACCTACAGCTGGTGTATGAGCTCTCCAATGGCAGAAACTGCTTGAATAACCCGGATTCTCAATAGGTCAAAGATATTCCGAGCGGCACTTAGAGGGACTCCATTTCTCGAGTATTTTTTGTATGTGTTGGGGAGCTCCAGGGGAAACGGAACCCTGGAGCACGTTGATCTGTATGATCATTTATAGGTCAGAGATGGCCTTCCAGGTAGGTGTATGGTTTTGGCCTTATTTTACTCCCCCATTCACTGGATTACATTGTGCGCACTTGCAATTCTTCGGAGTAGTTGAGGCCGCAGCTGTTTTTTATAGAGGTGAAATCTGCTGTGAGGTCAAGGGTGATTTACCCGGTTCATGTGGGCTGCCAGGGAAGGGGAAATGTCGGCCCGGCAGACTGGATAACCACGGCCAATGACCACTCCTATGGGCTCCTGGGAATTGGATATTAGGGGACAGTGAAGCTATGATACCGCTAGAATTGAGCAGTATCAACCCCGGAAGCCCGAAAAAAACGAGGCACAATATCACCCGGTATGATACTCTGCCAGAAAGAGAAAGAGAAAGAGACACAGGGGTACGCGCATTATACTTCCTCCAACTCCGGAAACCCCCAGCCCGCAACACATTATCAAGGCGAGTGGGCGTAACCTTCCTTCATTATCTTCCACAGTCCTCGACAACGGATACCCGCCTGTTCCCCAACAGCCCAACTGCAACCCTCTCCCCTCCTCACCCAGCTCCCCTCTCCAAAACTCACCCGGAGCGCACTGCACCGCCCACCCGCACTTCCGTCTTCCATTTCCGTTTCCCTCCCGGATATATCGGTCCGCTAGATTGAGTTGCGAAATCATCTTCAGCGGTGATGGACCCAAGGTGGTAGTGGCGGGATTGGGATGCGTTCCGTTCACTGGTCTAAAACACCTTCCTGGGTATTTACTAGCGTGGCGGAGGTTTTATTGATAGATCTTGACTTGGTGGTGGTGGCGGTAGGGGTGTACGGTGCGATATAATGATGCGATTCTGACCGGAAGGTCTGTTCCGGTATGGCTCGATTTTAGCTTTCCTTCCATGAGCCGGTTTAGTGTTTGTGTGCTACTTAGTGATTTTCCTTTGCCTTTTGTAGGTTATTGACAAGTTTTTGCGTGGTCCGCTGGTATAAAATTGTGTGCAAGATGTGAGGAAAGCAAGTACCCTCGTCTCGCCCGGCTTCCTGTTGGGCAGCATTCACATACCAATGATGTAACATTCAGAAATAACGTTTACCCAATTGCATCTAAAGATATTAGCTATATAGCACTCTCACCGTCTAGACTGGGTGGTACAAGAATGGGGCTCTACGAGTAAGTTCTATGCCCGGGCAAGCGTGAACAAATAAACCTGAAAAGAGGCATGATGGGAGAAAAGGGTTGTTATCTCACCCCCAGCAACCCAATCCCAATTCAACACCTGGGTACAGTGCCCCTCCGTGCTCAAGAAAACCAGACATCCCGTATAACAACATGATGATGCCGCGCACACTGGTAACTTCACTACATCATGACAGGAAGGAACAAGCATAGCAGAGCACTGCACCCGGCGTGGTACTGCTGAGATGAAACACAGAAGGTATGGTAATCAAAACAAAAATTGCACATCAGGCAGCAACGACCCAAGCTACATACCCGCCCTCCTCCCCTCCAAGCCCCAAATTTGTCACTGCAGAGCATTCCACGCGCCTAGCAGGCACCATAACAATTATCAACCGGAGTTCCATCCATCATTCCGAGAACTGAGAGCACAATCGCGAGTGAGGGCTCGTGACTCACGCCCACTTCATCCTGTAATGATCCGGGTATGATACCGCCACTGCTATCAGGTTCTAAGCGGGGGAAAAGCGTACTGTATGCGATCATTCTCCGCAACATTGCACAAGACATGCGTCTCGAACCTTCGCACCCGAGTCGCCGGGTTTGAAACCGCCTTTCTTTCGGCGATATCGTGAGGGAGGAGGGGAAAAGTGCGGCTCCATCCAATCTAGTGGCTTGGGCAACGTTGTTGTAAGGCACGAACGAGTACGGGACATCCCTAGCATAGTCTTGGCTTGCGATGTGGTGCTCGGGATTCCGTATACTGGCGCCCTTCATAAGGGCGTTATGCATGATATGTACGAGCTGCAAGTATCGCCACCAAAGCAAGTTATTTGGGCAGTTCTGGGTCGAGTTGGATGCAGGGTTATCGTACTTAAGCAATCAGATGAAGGAGCTGTGTACTGTACTGTACCCTGTCTTACTCAACCCCCTGGGTTTTCTTTCTCCTCATCCTCTCTTTAGATTTGGTTCCACGGTTTAAGGGAAACGAGACCCTCGTTGTGTGGTTCATTCTTGTATAGCTCGGACGCCTTGATCTCCTATCGTGTTATACATGTAGGCGAGGAAGAATGTGGCTTTGCAAGGACTCAGGGCGGAGAGTTTCTAGAAACATCACTTGCGGTATTCATTGTGTGGGTAACATGCCGGGTTCGCACGCCCCAATGTATACTAGCGAACGCCAGCCTTAAACTTTCGTGTTAATGCCTGTACTCTCAAAACGGAATGCGCCAAAATTCTACCATATACACCCCAGGACAAACAATGAAACAAAAAAAATAGAAATAAGCCGTCCCGGAATGCAAAGAGGATGAACAGAGGATTGCCGCAAGTTTCCCCCCTTAGGTATCAGCATCGACACCAACGCCGGCATCAAGAGCAGGATCAACATCTACTTCATGGCCGCTCTGCAGGGCCCCCTTCACAAAGCCCTCACTCCAAACCCACAATCTCTCCGCCAGCCTCTCATCCTCAGCAGCCGTGCTACAGCTCTCCTTCCGCGCGATAGGAGCCCAGTACTCGCCTCTGCATCCATCGGCCTCGACCTCCTTCGCAGCCGCTAAGAACACCCCTGTCGTCGCCCCATCCTCGAGAGTCTGCCCCATCCATCTGAAAAATTCGGAAAACACGCCTCCAAAGGCGTACCCGAAATGCTCCTTCCAAGTGTCCATCGAAGAGGTGGGTATGTTTCCGGGGAAGTAAGCGTTGACAAAGACCTTCTCATCCCCTAATCTTCGGGAGAGCGCCTTGGCGAAGAGGATATTCGCTAGCTTCGAGCGGGCGTAACGGTAGAGTGAGGCGTAAGCGGTACCCAATTTGGAGGCAGGCGGGATAGGGGAGGTGAGGGATTGGACGTCAATGGATCCGCAGAGGTGGTGGAGGAATGACGAGGAGACGATTATTCGGGTCGACGAGACGGAGTGCGTTTTGGGGGTTGAGCGTAGCAGCGGGAGGAGGGTGTCCGTCAGGTGAAAGTGCCCTAGGTGATTCGCTGCGAATATAGTTTCCACACCTTGTGGGGAGAGTTCGTAGTTTGGTATGTGTGGGATGGCTATATGCCGCTGGTCGATGAGCACCTACTAGTCCCCTCCCGTTCTCATCAACTAGAGGAAACGGAAATACGAACCAGCGTTTAAAAACAACATATCCAACCTCCCCAACCGCCCAAGAAGCTCCTTCCCGACCTTATCCACAACCTTTAAATCTGTGAGATCGCACTCCACAAACTCGACCCTTTCCACCACCTCCTCATGGGATCTGCACTCTCCCCACCCCTCCCTCGCAAACTCAAACTTCTCCCGACTCCGTGCGAGCACAACAACGTGTCCGATATCGTGCAGGAGTAGTTGCTTGACGATCTCAGCCCCAATCCCACTCTGCCCTCCGGTAATCACGGCGATTTTGGACCTGAGCGGCGGGCATTCAGAGAGTGTCCATTCGACGGTCTGCATGAAGCCACTCCGGTAAAAGGGGGAGAGAGAGCTCGAGATTGAATAATAGGGCATTGCTTTATGGGGGTTTGGTTTCTGTTGGGAGCTATGGAGGTGGACCGAGAGTTTCGGCAGCTACCGTAGCTAGCTGTTGCAGAGTTCATGACGCTGCGGGGTGTGTGAGAATCGACATGGTGGCTTTGCTTTTTGCGGGCGGTTGAATTACTGAACAGGAGCGCTTGGCTTGGCGGTGAAGTCGGGGTTCACATTGAGCCTCAGCCACATAGAGGCAGGCTGAGTGTGGCAGGACTCGAGCTTTACATAATGACTCCCGGGATGGTACGGTATATCAACCGCAATAGAAAGCCTACTGCTTTCTGAGTGTGTCTAACTATCATGAATGTCCTTTATCAAGCCAGACTACTCGTGGGGTGTTCCCTAGCTGGGCGGGACGGTTGGGCGCTGTAGAATCCTGTAGCGGGGCTGCAACGAATCAATATCGGACCCCCGTTGCTAATCTACCATACTCTTTTATCCCGCTCTAGGTATCGTTGGTTGTACCTGGGCGCTGGAATTGACGCTGTGCTAAGACAGCCAGGCGTTGCTCCACACAAGATAAGACCCGACATCTTCCGGCATCGGGTCGGATGCTTGCCAGCTATACATAATAAGTTATGGGTTGGAAGCGAGTATCTGATTCCATATGGATTCGGGCAGGCAGCATTCCGGTGAGTCAGAAAAGTGGAATAATAAGCCACTGATAAGGTTGAAGGCACGCAATGGTAGGGTCAAGTTGTCGTTTTTAGCTTTGTATTTGACGGAGGAAACATGCAGCGCAGTTACAGGTATCATGGCTTATGCGTTAGAGTACTCGTGTCTCCGAGCCAAGAATGGGCACCTGATTGGGAATAGGCCATATGCTCCCAAAAGTAGTAAAGTGCTCATGCTATTTGAAAGACAGTGAGAGTGACGCAAGATGCCAGTAACTGGGCGGGTAATATCAATGTACGATAAAACTACCATAAAAGTTCTCAAAATTCCATAAACAAGACCGGTTCTCATCCAATCTAAGTGCTTTCACTCAATTGCACCAAATTCAGAAATTGATACTATGAACAGTGCTATGACGAAGGGAAAGAGCCTTAGTCTACCATGGCTACGCGTGGTGCTATTATTGCTCTCCACAAGTCCGAGCCTGTGGAGGTGATAACAGGTTCAATGCCTAATAGGGCAGTTCACTACTGGGAGGGGGGGGGGATGGGGGAGGTGAGGTTGGTGAATTCACAGGATTTATTTCCACTGCTCGGGGGTGTCTTAACTTCTTCTGAAAGCAGCATCAAGACTTTACCATAAATGGATCTGGGGAGGCTATTCCAAAAGAGGTGCCCATTCTTGGCTCGGAGACACGAGTACACCCACTTGTATTAAACTATCATATCATACATCGGTAGCATCTACAAAAGTTTTAGCGCAGCGATTCCTAGACCCTGCCATACCCTTCCAATTGAATCCCAAGCCAATTCTTTGTGCCCGGGGTTCTGAAACCTCTATAAGAGGGTTGACCCAAAGAGACTAGATCCACTTTAAAGCCACGGGCCCTGTTGGTATGTTACTAAGGTGAACTTTTGGAAAACTCTTAGGCATACGGGTCACACTTACCCTTTATTCGCATCCCAGATTTCATAGGGAAACTTGGATAAGCTGCGATACCGGGTGCGAAATCACTCGGATAGCCTAATCGCCTGACGGGGACATGGAGCTGTTCTACATATATTAGAGCTGGATTTCCGGGAGCAGTATGAAAAGGGTACAACAATACCTATATGGCAGAACCAGGAATTCGGGAGTGGTGGGGTGCGTGTTTGGCATAGAGTGGCGTGTTGTTGAAAGCTCGCGGAATTCTTTAACAGCAAGAAGCTGATATATCTCAAGTAGGCCCAGTTCAGATAGGTCAAGCATGTCCAGTTAAGATGAGTCGAGAGTGCCCGGTTCAGATGTGTGCGATCCAGATGAGTCAAGCAAGCCGAATTAGATAGGTTAAGCATGCCCGGCTCGGATGGGTTATGCGGGCCGGCTCAGGTGGGTCAAGGATGTCCGATTCGAATGAGACAAGCATGCCCAATCAGATAGGTCAAGCAAGCCGGATTAGTTAGGCTAAGCATGCCCGATTCAGATAGGTTAAGCAGGCCGAATCAGATAGGTCAAGCATGTCCGATTCGATTGAGACAAGCATGCCCCATTAGGTATGTCAAGCAAACCGAATCAGATAGGTTAAGCATGTCCGATTCGAACCGGGCGGGCGGGCCGAGTCAGGTGGGTTAAGCATGTCCGATTCGATTGAGACAAGCATGCCCCATCAGATACGTCAAGCAAACCGAATCAGATAGGTCAAGCATGCCCTATTCGATTAAGACAAGCGTGCCCCATCAGATACGTCAAGCAAACCGAATCAATAGTCAAGCAGGCCGAATCAGATAGGTCAAGCATGCCCTATTCGATTAAGACAAGCAT